GCATCTTCTTCGAGGGTCTCCATTGTAATGAGCAGGAGACCTTCGCAAAACTGTTCGAACGAGAGAAAGAGCTTGAGGAAGACGATGGTATATGGATTTTACTGTCTACCTGAGGAGCCAACCTTGTCACGTGCTCCTTTAAGTTGTCACGCACCCCCCTCACTCTTGGGTCTTTTAAGCATAGCCCACTTAACTTTCCGGGCCTACTAGACCCAGAATTACAATTTAGAGATGGGCCTGTTGGTTGGACCCCGTGCATATTCCCGAGGCTACCAATACCTCTGCYCGACCCAATGAATCACCTCCCTCCTCCCGTATTGCACTCGGACCATTCCTCTCCACTGGAGTAAATTGCTTAGGTCCACAAGCAACTGCCTGAGCAAAAGAAACTTTGGTTTTCCCACCCTTGCCTTGTGCCCACAATCTCTTTTTTTCTTCAATTGCATTACTTCAAGTACCTAATGTGACCTAAAACATATTACATTCCTAATTGTACAAGTCGCCCTATACCACGCCCCTCGAGGCAAGCCCAAACAAGTCCATGTTGGGGTCTTAAAGTCTTAATTATCACACAAAAATAATGATTTTATAATTTTATTTGCCTTTTAAGAAGATATTTTATTAAGATGAATGAATGAACAACATTAGCAAATAGAGGGTTAAAAAAAAAGCAAAAAAGCGTACAATTTTCAAAAGGTGCATGCCTAGGCGCACCAGGCGTGCGCCTTTCGAAAGTGTTGTGCCTAGGACCTGGGCGAGGCGCCTACCCTAAAATGTGCCTCGCATGTGTGCCTAAACATGCCTTTTAAATCACTGGAGTGCACTGACATGGATAAAATAGGCAAGTATCATGGGCTGGGCACAAGCCTATGACCAAATACATTATGTTAAAAGTATATGTAACACTTTATGTTATATGGCATATAATATATGCATAAAATGTGTTATGCTTTATATAAATATAAAATAACATACACGCATACAGACAAATATGCATATATATATATAGTGTTTTAGGGGCATTTTGCTAGCGAAGCACAAGGAAAGGTGAATGACTTCTTGAAGCTAGGCATAAAAATGCAAAAATTCTACAAAAATTAAAAAAAAATGCTAGACAAGAGTTCTTAGTCTCCAAGTAACCTTTGCACAAGTCCCCAATTTTCCCTACCACTTTGGTCAAGGGTTTAAGGGTTCCGCCCTAGCCCAGTTGCATGGCATACCAAGACAGAAAAAATGTGCAAATGTCAAGTTTATGATCCATTACAGAAACTTTCAATTCCAAAGAGCTGACTACAGATGCAACAGAGTCAACTCAATCATGGATTCAAACCTTCTCTTCTTCGAGGCAATTACCCAAATCATCAAGTTGGCATTGACTTCTTTCACAGTAGGGTTCACCGTGTTTTCCCAAGATATCTCCGGTTAGCCACCAGAGAAATAGGTGATCTAGGAAGAAGGGTAGAAATGCAAGTAGATAACTCGCTTTCCACCAAAGGATTTTTTTTTATGGGAAAAGGCTGACTAATCAAATCAGCACAAAGGATGGGTAAGAAAATTTAGGTGAGAGTGGAAAAAGTCTTAGCAACAGCTAGAATTTGCCAAATCAAACTTTATTTCATCAAATCTACTCATTTTAAACTCCAATTAAATGACACTATTAATAGACTCATGATCTCAGATGTTCCCTTACAGACTCCAGTTTTAACTAGGAAATCGACCCAAAACAACTTATAAAATTCTAATTGCTATAAAACTAAGACAATCCATAGGTAACCCATAGGGCACTAAAATAAGGACTCACTCTTAACATTAACTCCAGTAGCACTTTCCTAGTCCAACTAAATAAATAGTAAGCCTTTACCATAAATATTAATTTCAAGATAGCAATAAAATTCTAAAAAACAAGACCCTATTCTTAAGATAMCTACAACTAAAAACTAAATAAATAATCTGAAACAACACTATCCTAAGACAGTAAGACCATTACCCAATGTTGGTCCAAGCTAACTGGCCTCACAAAGGGCAGACTAAATATGGTCTTAATCTTTTTTTTTCTTTTTTTTTTTTTTACACATTGTCCACTCTTAGACTCGAACCTCCCTTCTCTCTTGACAGCCCGAGATTTTACCATTACACCAAGTAATGGACCCTAAACAATACCAATATCCTATCACCTAAAAATTTTGAAATTAGTGTAGGAATTGGAAAATTGAAGTAATAGTTTAATACTCCATTAATTCATTCCTAGTTTTTGTATCTGTATCACACCCTCACCTTGCAGAGAGAAAAGGGAAGTAAAGTGAAGGATGCTAGACCACTATTGCAAACCATAGATGAGAAAATTAACAAGTTTCCAAATATTTCTTATGAAACAATTTTCTTCCAAAGGTACCAACATGAAAATTATCTTTGATCTTTCTCATAGTCCCCAAAGCTCCAAATGGAATCAAAAGATTCAACTCCATGAATAAGAACACCAATATAAGACATTCCGCACATAATCAGCAAACTGTTTGGCAGGTGGCAGGTTCCTAGCACCCAGGAAAATAGGTGTTTCAGCATGGATGTCAATGACCTTGCATCTGAAGTAAGCCTCCATAGACCTCAAGCACATCTCTCACCCCAAGGGAGAGGTTCCTTCCAAGAGAAATACTTAAAAGCAGAATAATGAATGTAAACCTGTATATACAGTATTAATTAATGAATAAGGCTTTTGTTATTGATAAAAAAACCAAAGAGTAGAATAATGAAATATAAGAGTGGGAGATTCAATCAGAGAGCTGCCCTATTGATTCCTGAAATGGTCCTGCTCAATTCCTTCAACTGTTTGAGTATCCCAGTCATCAAATAATAGACTTTCAATTATTCCTAGCACTCCCATGGTGGATACCTTTTTTTATGATCGGTGAATTGTAAGATTTATTAATTCAAAGCCAAAGAAGGTACAATTTATGGAGAGGCATGAGATGCTACCTCCCCTTTAAGGAGGGGAGATGGAGGAAACCATCAACCCTTTAGTTACTAAACATAACAAAGGACATGAAAATTACAGAGAGGCCCAATATAAGGAGACCCGAGTAGCCCCTTGTTTGGCAAGACAATCAGCCAAGGCATTAACCGATCTCCCCAACCACTGAAATCTGACTATCATGTCCCTAAATAGCCATTTGACCTTTTTTAAAATATCCTTAAACTGCCAAGTGACAGTACCCGGGTCAGCCAACCATCCTACTACCACCTTGGAATCTCCTTCAATTATTAAGTTTCGCACTCCAAGTTGATAAGCAATCTGTATCCCTTGTGCTGCAGCTAAGAGTCCAGCCCTCACAGAGTCTCCTATTCCCACCAGTCCCGAGAAAAAGGCAATGATATTGCTGTTCTCATTTCTAAGTACACCACCAATCCCAGACAGACCTGGGTTACCCTGACTACTTCCGTCAAAGTTGAGCTTAACAAAACCCTCCATCGGTGGAGTCTAAGTTACTTGAACTCTAGGCTTCCTAGAGGAGGTGAGGGCAACTGCAGACCAATTCCTCATTAAATCATCAAAGGAGTAATTATCAAAGAGCTTTAAGGATTTCAACCACAAAATAGTCCTTGTAAGAATATAGTCCTTGACCTCAAGAATGCTTCTTTCCTTCTGAAAAATTCTGGAATTTCTCTCTTCCCAAATAGTCCAAAGGAGAGCTGCTCTTATACACTTCAACATAATTCTCCCTCTTTTTGTGGTCCACACGAAGGTAGAAGGGGAGAACAGCAAATTTACCTCAGTTGGCAAGTTCCACCTGCACTCAAACAAGTCAAAAACCCAGTTCCAAATGACTGCAGCAAAAGGACAAGAAATCAATAAGTGGTAACAGTCCTCAAACTGTGCTGTGCACAAAATACACCAGTTAGGGGATAAACATAAGAAGGGTCTTTTCTCCTGCAAGTTATTCATCGTATTGATTTTACTGTAGAAAACTTCCCAACAAAACGCAGCTATATTTGGGGGAATAGGCCTAGACCAAACTTCTTTAACTGGGAAAGCACAAGGAGAGGAGCTAGAGCAAAGGGAGTTAAAGAAAGATGCACAAGTAAATGACCCTTTCGGAGTCAAAGTCCAAATCCTCCTATCAGAACTGAGTGGGTCCAAACAAACGGAATCAAGTAACAATAAGAGCTCAGAAGCTGATAAGGATTCCTCATCCCTCAACCCTCTACGGAAGCCAAGGTCCCAATTTGTAGACAAAGGGGTATACGGGGACAAGTAAAAAAGGAAGCAAATTCCATAGTATTTTCTCTTTACACCAAGCAGAATAATGAAATATAAGAGAGGAGCTTCAATCAGAGAGCCCCTATTACATTAAGAAGAATAAAAAAATTATGCTGTCCCATTGACTCCTGAAATGGTCCTGCTCAATTCCTTCAACTGTTTGAGTAGCCCATCAAATAATAGACTTCTCAATTTTTCCAAGAACTCCTACAGTGGATACCTTGATTCAAATATTATGTGAATCCTTTCTTTCCAGACGAACCATAAGCAAATTCCACAGTATTTTTCTCTTTACACTGAAAGCACCCACTCTCCACAAAGAAATGCAGATTGCCCAGGAGCACCCAGTGACTATTTAGAGTAATTTTAATAATGGTCCTCTCAAAGCCCAAAGAGAATGACAATATATTAACTTTGGAGGAAAGAAAGAAGCTTGACCCTTGAGGGTTTCAAACCTCAGAGGCTTTGCATGTGCAAATAAGACCGCCTTTCCGCTGTGCACAAACACCAGCAATCCTAGATGGACCAGGATTAACAGATGATTTAGGCATCCATATTCAAGGGGAAGGGGTTGCATAGGCAAGCAATCGCTAGTCTATCAGGATGGGAATGGACAACAATTATAGCTTTAAAACAGGTCTAACTTGAGAATCCCATGATGCTACCAAATATGTGTATGGGTGTGGATTGCAACCCCATGAAAATACCTGTCTTCAATTATCAAAAAAWAWATATATATATATACCTGTCTTCTGGAAACTGTAGTGTAGCAGGACACCAGTACTCTATTATTCCTTTGCCGTCTGCAGATATAACAGTGTCAAAGACATGATTGTATTTCATGACTTTTACCGGACCCATGTGTATCTGCATGGAAGGCACAAAACAAAGAAAGCATAGATCAAAATAAGAACAAACATGTGGGATTTAGAAAGCTTCATGTCATGCCCCAAAATATCAAAAGAAAAAAAAAATCTGGCAAACCTCTTTGGAGATAATGGGTTCATTTGAACCAGCTCGTGCATCAAAAATATGCACATTTGGGGAGTTCCGATCGCTAATGGCAAGCTTAGCTTTAACATCACCTTGTTTGTAGACCCATTCAACTGATCCAGGAACAAATGGTAAACGTATCATGACCATCATGTCATAGTTGACAACATCATATATCTTCACAGAACGATCACTTGAAATTGTACAGCAAAGCAAGCCATCAACACTAACCTGCATTACTGAACCACATCATGGTTGATGATTGCTTGTATGGAAAAAACAGTTTGCCAATAAGAGAATTACATGCAGAATTAGCTCAAAAGTTGGAAAAGAAGATACTAGATGAAACAAGCAGACTAATGACAAAGGTGAAACTTTTTTTCTGTAAAAGATGAAATAACTGTTTTTTTATCAATAACTGAAACTCTAAATAAATATTAATCAGAAACAGAAACAAGAAAGCAAGGGGCGAGTTAAACTCTCTTAACCCTCCCCGGATAGAAGTTCAAATTACAACAAAGCCCAAAATAAACTATCCCTTCCCACCCCTTGTTTTGCAAGTGTATCAGCAAAAGAATTAGCACTTTTCTTTACCCACTGCAGTTCTATCTACATGTCCTGGGCCAGCCACTTAAAACTTCTTTTTTTTATTAGCAAATTTCCAAATTCCAATGATAGTGTGGAGGAGTTGAGAAGAGATGGAAAAAAGGGTCTGGTTTGCATGTTGGATCTAGAAAAGACTTATGATATTGTTGACTGGTCTTTATTGCTGGAAGTGTTGTAAAATTTTGGTTTTGATGAGAGATGGTGTGTATGTTGGTGCAGGCCTGCATTAGGATTTGCCACTACTCTATTTTGGTGAACAGAACTGTGGTGGATCATTTTCCAGCCACTACAGGAATTAGACAAGGGGACCCACTCTCTCCTTTCCTCTTCAAATTAATTGCTGAAGTTCTGGTAGACTAATTACTAGTGAAGATTCTAGAAACCTGGTGAGGGGTGGAGAGTTGGAAGGAAAAGGGCTCCAATCACTCATTTCAGTTTGCAAATGATACTATCTTGTTTTGTGAAGGAGAAGATGTCAAGTGGGTCAGGAATTTGAAGTTGATGGTTCAATTATTTGAGCAAATCAAATCTGAAAGTAAATTTTGATTAGAGCTATGTAGTTGGGGTTAATATAGATGAGAGGGAAGTTGTAGATAGGGCAGATATTTTGGGATATGCAGTTTCTCATTGACCATTGAATTATGTGGGAGTACCTCCGAGAAATAGCAGTTTTTGGAACCCAGAGGTTGACAGATTCACAAAGAGACTAGCAACATGGAAGAAAAACTMTCTTTCTTAGGGTGGTAGGATTACATTGACAAAGTCCACTTTGGCCAATTTACCTTTCTATTTCCTATCAATTTTCAACTTTGAAGATACAAAGGGGTGAGTAGAAGTTTGGAAAAGTTCATGGACTTTCTATGGGAACCAGGGGAGGAGAAAAGAGACCACACATTCAATTGAGAGGTGGTTACTAGAAGTAAGAGTGTTGGTGGATTAGGTATAGGAAATATTCGGAAAAAAAAAAATGAGGCTCTATTGGGGAAAGGGTTATGAAGATAGACAACAGATAGGGATAAGTTGTGGGCCAAGGTGATTCTAAGCATTCATGCCTTCATGGGMAAACGGTTGATGGATGGGATGCAGGAGCATTGACTAGGGCTACAAGAGCCTCTCCTTGGAAATCTATTCATGCCAGTCTACCATCTTTCTTGCCTTTTATAAGGTATGACTTGTGCTCTGGAAACCTTGTAAAATTTTGGGAGAATATTTGGGTGGGGGACACATCATTGAAAGAACAATATCCTTCCTTGTATTCCCTGTCAAGGATAAAAAATGAGCAGTATCCACGTTTCTTGTTCCTTCTGACTCAAGTTATGCGTTTGAGTGGGATTTTGGCTTCAGAAGGGATCTCAAAGACACTGAATTTAACATTATTTCAGCCTTCATTCAAATACTGGAAAGGGTGGTGTTAGATCCTTCAAGTGAGGATAACCAGATTTGGACTTTATCTTCCTCTGGTGCCTTTTCTTGTGCCTCGTTCTTTAAAGCTCTAGTTCAACCTTTTGATGGCCTTGGGCAACCTTTCCCAGTCAAGGAAGTTTGGAGTAAACCAATTCCTCCCAGGATTGGAGCCTTATGTTTTAGTTTCAAAGCAATTAGGAGTTGATTTACATCAGTTTCCTAGTCTAAATTGGTGTCCATAAAGGGATATTCAATTTCAAATGTTGAGCATCACAATTCCACATTGGGAGGATCTATTTGATAAAACAAAGTTTGGTTTAATGAATTCTGTTTATTGCTAGGTTTGTTTCTCTTTTTACCCTATCTCTTTCTTACCTATTTCTTCTTCCAAGTGATTTATCTCTTTCTGATGTCTTGCTCATTCTATGGTGGATACTGGATAGTAAGCTGTGTACTTGCCTTTCCATCCCTAATCACCCAAAGCCTAATACCCAATAATAATAATGATGATAATAATAATAATAATCACCCAAAGCCCCTTCTTCGCCTCACAAAGACCACCACCAGATCTGGATTCTGGAATTTGTGAAACCACCTACCTTGTCCTACATATGTACAGCACAATATAAAGCATTTTGCTGGGCTAGCCACGGCTACACCCAATTTGTCTCATTTATATCTGTACATCATTGTGATAAGTTCTTCAAAAACAGTTGTACCCTATTCACTATTCGTTTGGTTGTTCTTTGTGTCCATATGAAGTGACAGACAGCTCTGTTGACAAATGTTTGATCTCCCTCATTACAAGCCAGTATGCCAAGAAGCCTAATTATTATTCCTTGGCCAGCACACTAAAGCCTTGGGGGTCAACATACATAATCTCTTATTGCATGATATATTCAAGGTTGCAATAGAACATACCAACAAAAAACATAATAAATACAACCAACATCATATAAGGAAATACAATCTTCAAACATGGTACTATCAAAAAAAGAGGAAATTTTTATAGAACAACAGAAGTAATGAGTAATCTTAAATATGCTAGCGGGACAAACTCACAGCCAGCCCTTCAATGGGACCAAGATGAGATCTGAAATGCTTAGCAAACTCAACTCCAATTGCCTTTTTCTTCCAAAATTTCAAATGACCTAAAATCAAGAATCAGGGCAAAACAATCAGTGTACCAACAAGAAATCTCAGTTTCAACTATATTCCATAAACTTGAGACCTGATGCAAAATAACCTCGACATAATTAATTATTATCCAATGAAATGGTTGTACCATTGTTATCAATCACTGGAAGTAACCCACTAAATTAGTGTCTTAACAACTGAAAGGATTATAAAACCAATGGTTGGCCTGATATATGGTAATAGGCACCCTCAAGTTCAAAAGGTCATAAAATTAAAAGTGGGGAAGGAGAGCATCAGTTTTTTATTACTCAAATTTGCCAACAAGAAAATGTAACCATAAAGAGACATAGAAACTTCTAAATACAAAAGAAATTAAACCTTAAATGTGGGAAACAAGATAAAAATGGAACACTAACAAAATATGTCGCATCATAAGGAATATCGCATGTTTTAGAATTATACTAGCCGAGACCTATACGATGCACGGGCATTACTATGTGAAATTGAAAAGGAAGGAACCTGTGACATTCCCAATTGAGCTAAGTCAGTCCAAGTCCGACTCAACTCAAGCAATAAGAAAGTTGTATGTCCTTTGCTTTTTCATCCTAAAATAATAAAACTTCCTAACTATTGTATTTTATTAAAATTTTTAACTTTTAATGGAATTCAAATGAATTATAAAAATTAAATTTTGAGGACTCGTATAGGAAATGGTTTAGCCTCACCCATTTAATGAAATGCATGGTACCATGCACCATAAGCACATAGGGGGATTATCCCTTATAGAGATGCAGGTCGGGTGGGCTGGACCAGGTTTAAGGTCAACCCAGGGCCACAGGCCCAAACCCTAAATATTGGACCTAAGACATGAGCCCCAATTGGGCCTGAGGTCAAGCCCAGTGCTTCCAAACCAAGCCTAGCCTGAACTGAAAATCGACATACTCAGGTTGGACCGAAGCCCAAGTCAAGCTTGGGTTGGTCAGTTGGGCTCAAGTGGACCTATTAGGCTCAATAAAGTTGCATGAACCTATTTATTATCACTAATTTAAAGCTCTAATTAGGAATTTTGTACATCTTGCATATAAGCACGCATGTATATATATATATATATGCATGTTTTTAAAGTCACTAAAAAGTTGTTTGTCTAGTTGGGCCGGGCTTGGGTTAGGCCAAGGTCAAGCTGGGCTAAAGCTACCAAGAGGCTAGCTCTCCAAGCCCACCAGGAAAAAACAGAAAGCCTGGAATTAAACCTGACTTGTGGAGAATAAGATAGAAAATATGTTGAGAATATGTATTAAATTTCACGTGCATGATTACTGTAAGGGTAATTATCCACTGGGTTAATAGCACATATTATCAGAGGTTTCTTGAGAATTATATTATCAGGGAGAAGTAATACCAGTAAAAGATCAGTCCTTCCTCCCCTTACCACATCCCCACCCCACCAAGCACATGTATGCACAGCTGAGGTAGTCCTTCATTCTCCTCTTGCAGAGGATGACATCAAATAGAACTTTGATGGGTGTTAATGGGTAATACAGGTCCTTCAGATACCAATGGAGTCAACAATGGAAATAATCAATCTCTCCTATGAAGCTAAGCCTATGCTACATCCTCAAAGTCACCACTAGTTTACCGCCATTTTATATTCAGAGAGTTGAAATTGAAACAAACTCATCGAGTGCAAACTTGTTTAGAAGTAATTTATCAGGCGAAAAAGGTATGTTCTTTGGAACTTTGTAGTCATGCTCAATAGTCAAAACCTTGTTAAGAACTTGAGATGGGTTCCAATATCCACCAAATCAACTGCCTATAGTCTATCTAGATGGGTAATGACAATAAATGACTTGTTTAAAGCTATTCTCTACCAAGTTATTTGTGTTTTTTGCTGATCATGTACAGACCCATTTCCATGCTCTTGGGCATATGTTTTCATATTATTCCCAAGGGAATATGCTTAATTATACTTTATTCACTTTAATACAATTACTCATTTTCTTGTTTGTATAAGATACATACATACATATAGAAAGATTTACTTGGTACCCAGGAGTTGACAGCATTGTTTTGTTTGAGTAATTGCCAACAAAGTATCATTATTATTCCATTCTTTTAAAGTTCAGCCTAATCACTTTCTTTGCGCCCCACCTATGATACCTGGATGCCTGTACACGGGTGCCATGTTGTGTTGGATACTTCAATTTTTAGTATAAATTACACACCCAATACAGTATCCAGAAGTGTCTTTGTCATATCCGGGTAACATGTGTTCCACTTTTTTCTGTTAGTAACTGATAACTGATAAGAAGATTTTACTAAATCAAGAAATAATGAGATAGAAAAAACAAAAAACAGAGCTTCATCTTCGCCACAAAGTAAAACCAAGATCTACCCTCAATATGCTACTCTCCCTCTACAAGATAGAAACCAACCTTAGATTCTTAGTGCCCAGAATCATGGTGGATTGAGAACATAAGTTGATATCAATCCACTGGAGAACCAAGTTTAAAAAGCAAAAGTTCTGTCATGACCCATGTGGAGAATACATGTAACCATATGTGTATATATTGTTCGATTTAAAATAAACTGATTCGTTAATAAAACTAAGTTTCATTCCATAAGTGAATATGACTTTTAAAGCGGGTTTAGATGGCTCAGGGCAACAAGGGAGGGTGACACAAAAGAGAGAATAGGTAAGTAGGGCTAACGTGCATGGAGTGGCTGTAGGCATTTCTCTAATGGGCTCATTCCAAAGGAGCTACCGACTTTGAGTGGTTCTGTGCACAATAACCAAGTTAGCAACAGAACAAAACCCTTAACCAGGGGTATAAAAGCCTCAGAGAAATTATTCTCTATCAGTTTGTTCAGATATTCACCCTATGAAAGTATAAGAAGCTGTTCATACCGGCCATAGACCCCATCTCCTGGATGGAAGTATGAACAACTTATTCATGCATCCACCCCTATAATTACTAGTGAATTACCTTGCACTTCTAGTTTGATATAACACAGAGAGCCCCACCCCCACAAAAGAAAATGAAGCCCCTGTAACAGAGATAGAAGTTTATCCTGAATGCAATCTCTAATACCCATCAGTTTCTAGATTGTGCTCCACACACACTCTCGTTGAACAAAATTTTTATGATATTCAACAGTAAGAGAGAGAAAAACATAAACACCCCCTAAAGCATTACGTCGCAATATGTCGTGGAATGGTCAACAATTCTAGCATATGCACCATTATATATTTGGTTGGGATAATTGCCCATGTTAAAAAATTGAAGAGATTAAAAGAGAGGATCAAAACTTGGTACAGAAAAATATTTGGAAGACTAGAGGAATTTAAGGAAAAGAGTGCAAAAAGGATAGAAAAGTTGGATCTTAAAGAGGCTAGGAGAGAGAGTCGTGGGAAGGATATAATAGAAAGGAGCTTGAAAGTGGATCTAGAAGAGATTCTATGTAAGGAGGAAATCTCTTGGAGACAAAAGTCGAGATGCAAGTGGCTTCTAGAAGTAGATGGAAATACAAAATGCTTTTCATTCTTTGACAAATGGGAGAACGAAAAACTTGATCTCAAGCATTAAGTTGAAAGGACGAGGATATTATTAAGACTTTTGTAGACCATTTCAAAGTAATCTTTGCCAATTCAGGAGAAAGGAGTTTAGACTTTCAGGAGCTTAAGTGGGACAGAATACCCATGGCCCAATCAGTTTTTGTGGAGAGAAGTTTCAGTGTGGAAGAGGTCAAAAAAGCAGTATTCTCACTGGAGAGATCTAAAGCCCCTAGCCTTGATGGTTTTTATATGGATGTTTATTAGGAATATTGGGAAATAATAAAAGGGGATTTGATGTAAGTCTTTGTGAAATTTCACCAAAAAGAGGAAATTTCTCCTGGAGCTAATGCAACCTTCTTAGACCTAGTGCCAAAAAAGAAAATGACCAAAACCCCTAAGGATTTTGACCGATAAGTCTTCTGGATAGCCTTTACAAAATCAAAGCAATATTCCTGGCTGGAAGGTTAAAGATGATTCTGTCTTCAGTAATTTGACAATTTAAAGGTGCTTTTGTGGAAGGGAGGCAGATTATGGACCAAATCCTAATTGTAAATGAATGCATAGCAGAAGAAGAAGAAGAGAGGGAAGGATCTATTTGCAAATTGGACCTAGAAAATAGGGGTASTCTGTCCTTTGATATGGTTGATTAGTCTTTCCTTCTTAACATACTGGAGAAAAGTAGGACTAGAAGACTGATGGAGAAAATGGATCAAGGGTTGTATTAGTTTAGTGAATTATTCAGTTTTGATTGCTAGAAATTTCTTCCCAGCAAAAAGAGGCTTGAGATAGGGAAAACCTATTCCCCCTTCCTTTGGACAATCTGATTAGGGGTTGGAGGGTAGGTAGAAATGAGATGATTGTAACTCATTAATACTTTAAGACGATATAATCATTTCCTGTGAGGGAAGTCATGAAAGTGATATGAAGAATTTGAAAGATGAATCGGGGGTAACTTGAGTTGCAGGAATCAACTTGAGAGAGAAAGAAATTCAACCATTGGCAGGACTCCTAGGCTGTGAGGTCAAAGATTAGCCTTTAGAATACCTTGGGAATTGGGCTTCCATTGAGAGGCAACTCAAGAGGAGAAGGCTTCTGGAAACCTATTGTGGAGAGAGTTGCTAAAAAATTGGCTCTTTGGAAAAGGAATTACATCTCAATGGGAGGGAGAATTGCCCTAATTAAATCTCACTAGCCAATTTGCCCATTTATTACTTGTCCACAATTCGCATTCCAGCTAAAGTGGCTAGGCGATTAGAAAAGTATGAGGGATTCCTTATGAGAACTGGGTGATGAAAGGAAGGACCACTTGGTGAAGTGGGAACAGGTGTGTAAATCTAAGGAACAGGGAGGGCTAGATATTGGGAACCTTATTCAGAGAAATTCTATTAGGAAAGTGATTGTGGAGAATCCGGAGGTTTCCCCTAGAAGATGATAGCCTTGGCACAGGATCATTTTAAGCATTCATGGTATCTTGGAAAATGACCAAGATGCAAAGGTGGCTTCTCTCTCTCTCCTTCAAACTCCTTGGGAAGAAATACAAGATGTAATCCCAACTTTTCTCATCTTCACTCGCTTTGATGTGGGTTATGGGAACATAGTTTTGTTTTGGGGGGATCTGTGGATTGGTGACATGCCCCTCAAACTAAAATTCCCTTTGCTCAACTCTCTTTCCAATTACGAATTTGAACCTATTTCAAAATTTGGTGCAACCTCTCCTTCTGAGATAAACTGATATTTTGGCTTCAAGAGGGGCTTAAGGGATAACGAATGTGAATCTCTTGCTCTCTTGTTGGCCAAGTTGGATACAGTCTTAGATCAAAATTTGAATGATGGTAGAATCTAGTCTCCCTGACCTGATGGAGTGATGGACTCTTTTCTTGTGCTTCTTTTTTCAACCTACTTGTCCTAATTGAGTCCTTGGGGGTGAACTTCCCGATAAAATAGATTTGGTGCAAGCATATCCCTCCTAAAATTCTAGCCTTCTGTTAGGAAGTGTTTCTTGGAAAGATTAATACCTACGACATGTTGTAGAAAAGGAGGCCCAACTTGTGCCTCTCTCCTCATGTGTGTATACTTTGCAAAGCTTGTGGTAAGACCATTCCTCATCTATCAATCTTATCCTCTTGTGTCTTGTATTTGGGACTATTTCTGTTCCCTCTTTGGTTGCAGATAGGTTACCCCTCAAGATGCAATAAGCCAATTCAACCCCAATTCCTGATGCAGACAAAAAGGAGAGGGAGAATTATGTAGAGGGAAGTAAGAGCAGTTGTGGTGTGGTCTATTTGGAAAGAAAGAAACTAAAGAATCTTTAATGATAACAGCAGGTCTAAGGAAGAGCTTAATTAGGCCATATAAAAGTCAGAGCTGCGCATTGAATAAAAACATTAGACCTTTTTAGAGTAATCTCAATTAATGAAATAGTAAGAACTTTATAAAAAGTGGCACAAACAGATAAAAGGAAAGACAGTGAGAGTGGAGTGGAAACCCCCAGCTGAAAATAAATTGAAGCTGAACTTTGTTGGGCAATCCAGGGAGGGCAGGCATAGGGGGTGTTTTTAGGTATCACTTAAGCATGGTATTGGATATGTATTCTGGACCAATTGGTTTTGGTGATCAGGTTGGATCTGAAATAATAGCATTGTTGCAAGGACCGAAATTAGCACAAAATCTTGCTTTCCGAGAACTTGAAGTCGAAGATTCAAAATTGGTGATATCTTGCACAAGGCAAATTCAGCACCTTGGAGCAAATAAGCACACCTTCAAGGAGATAGATCACCTAACAAGGGAACTCAATGTCACATTCAGCTGGATTAGAAAAGCTACAAATGAGTTGGTAGGTATAGTAGCAAAACAAGGGGTTGATAGAAACCATTTGTTTTGGGCAAAAATGTAAACTTTTACATTTGGAGATTGGTTGGAATGAACCAACTGCTGTACTAAACTTTAACTTCAAGTTTAATTAATGAATATCCTTTGCTGATCAAAAAATAATAACAATTGCCCATGTTAACCTTGTTATATAAAATCCTTCAAGAACCATGGAGACAATATACCACCACCAGGTCATACCTCTAATTTGTTTTCTTGTGGATGTCTTCCTTGGTCCCTCTAAGGACCAAGGAAGATCTAAAGGCCTGTTCATTTCCTCTTAATTCTTATCTCTAAGAGGAATCCTTTAACTTCAAGAGAAAAATGGTTGTTTGTTTCCTCTTATCTCTTATCTCTTAAAGTGCAATCATACAATTTTTTGTTTTCCAATGATACCCCCAAAAAGACAAACAAAAACTCTCGTATATGGGGTCAAAATGGATATTTGATCATTTTCAGAATTCAGAACAACATTCTCTGCATTCAGAGTTCAGAGAAAAGAAAAGTTCACCAATACCAATATACCTCTTAGTGTAATTATTGCACTTTCAGATGTCAGACTTCAGAGCAAATGAACAGGCCCTAAGAGTTTAACCCTTAAACAAGATGTTTTACTTGTTCATCCTTCTCCAAAGATCTTAAACCCCATTGAAGCAAACTTTCCTCCACCACCAACTAAAACAATTTGGTTTGGAGTCCAAACCAAATTAAAACCTTCAATTGGGAGCTTGTGCACCAAAAAATGAACTTCCATGAGATGCTTTAAGACAATAAGGAAAACATGGCCACTAGCTCCACAGATATACTCCTTCGTAAAGCAAGTAATGAAGAAGCCTACCATTTGTTATCACCTATTATAATGCTCCCCAGATATGGAGCCACTTCTTATCTCTCTTTAGAGCCCCAAAGCATACCGCCACAATTCCATCTTATGGTCAATGCTAACTTTCTTCCCCTTCTAGTAGAAATGCTTAAGATCATGTGGCAATGCAAGAGAGCAGTCATTTTATGAAGTTTGTTTGAGGAGATAAATGCCGATGGTATTCGCTCACAAGAGTTTGGAGATAGAGACTTTGATTTATCTTGTTACTATCAGATACTTGGAGTGGCACTGGATGCTAGTCAAAAAGATTGAAAGAGTTTCTTGGAATTAAAAGGTGTTCTCTACTTTCTTGTGGAGATGTAAGAGAGCAATCATTCTGTGCATTCATTTTTCCAAGACAGAATCAAAAGGCATTCTCTACTTTCTTGTGGAGATGTAATTAAGGGGAACAATCCGTATGATTCCCTGAATGGGCCCTTACCCAAAATAATAAAAACTCAAGCACTTCATTGAGTGAATTATGTTGCATGAGAATCTATTAAAATTTTCAAACCAACAATATGTGACAAGTTTGTCAAGGCAGGACTCAATTACTTTTTTAGTTGGATCACTCCTTTAGTAAACTTCCATTTTTCTGACAGGTTTTCATTGGAAACCCAAGACTAGGGGTGATCATGGGCCTGAAATATAAACTTGGGCCCAGGTAGAGCTATGGCCCTATACCTGGGCTGAGAGGATCACCATAATTCCTCCTTTCATACTAGCCGCCAGCTCTATACTTGGGATGAGAGGAACACCTCCTTGTCCGCTCTCCCCCCCCCCACTTTGGAACTTTGTCCCACCTGAACCCCTAAGTTCTTGAACTGGAGGAGATGAAGAGGCGAACAGAGGAGTCAGAGAGCTCGAAACCTTCAGGACTTCTTGCCTCTGAAGGCTGCTTATGGACAAACTCTTTGTGTTTGCTGAAGCAAAGCTACCTCTGTCCTGAGAGAGAAGATCTATCGAATCGGACTCTTCGGAAGAGGAGACTGACACTACCAACTCCTTCCCTTTCCCTTGACAAGAAGGCACTTTCCTAATCGTTGAACTAGAGGGGCTTTTAACATGGCCTGGACCAGGCCCACTAAACCGTTGGTTCACCTGGCACAGTTTGCCCAGAGATAATGGATCCGGATCCCGTCCCCCTGCCTTGATCCAATCCAAAATCGCACCTACCAGAAGGTCCAAAAAAGACCTTCTTCTTTCTCATCCAAACTATTTAAAATTTGACAGGATACTGACCTCATCCTCGAACTAGACCAACCCGCCTTTTTATCCTAGTCATCCATTCTGAGGTCCACCCTTCCTACAACTCTGAAACTTCTTCCTTTTCCTTCCCCTAACCAGCTGCTACCCACCTTCTTCCTCAGCTCCGGCGTCGACCTGTGCACCGAGCACTTCTAGAATGGTTGGAAACTCCTCTGACAATTGACCATCAACTCTGGATCTTTCCCAACCGCCTTTGAGACCGTCCTCAATGGAACTGGCCAAAGCCTTTTGTACTGTTCTTGGCTTGACCTGCACCGCTTCAGCAAAATCTGCCAGAACAAACATCTTTTTCAGCTTTATCTCTGGCCAGATGGTGACAACATACATTGCACTCCTAACCACTACATTCATCGTCGGGGGGAACACCTGATCAACGTGCCTTGATACGAAAGAACTCAACACTACCTTTGCTAGCCTCTACGCTATCTTCTTCCAGAAAACCTCCGCAGAGGTCCCCCATTCCTCTAGCAAAATTATTGCTCTAGAGGTGTAAAGGTAGCCCATATACTCTTACCCACACATAACCATGTAAGTCCTTAGGGGATTGCAAGGTTCCAATCAAATCTATCCATGGTTCTAGGCACAGTAGAGCTCCTTTGAAACACCTGGACCTGGAGTTCACCACTCTTCTGGTGTCTTCCTCAGAAGGGAGAAGAAAGAGCTAAAAGTCGTCTTCAAGCCTTCTCACCTCCACTCCTTTCAAACATCCCCAAACTTTAGAAGCCCACCAATGCACATCCTCCGCCTTATATCTTTCCAGTCAAAAGACTCAAAACATTTGACCAGGCACGCCTAAAGAAAATTCTTCTGCATTTCTACACCTCTGGCTTCAACCTCCAGGAAAAGGTGTTGCTGGTTAGCTTTGATACACACCGTTCCTTCTAATGGACAAGTCAAAAGGGAGCCTTTCCGTCAACGGGAAAAAGGTTCCTCTTCGTGGCGACCGGCCTTTCCCCCTCTCCTCTTGCAGGAACTTTTTGGTCTCTGTTCGTAGAACCTAGACCTCGTCATTTGCCACCGGCGGGGGCCAGTGCTGCAACCCAGACTGACCTCCTCCAAACATCAATGCAGTCCAGCGGGCATCATCACAGTCCGGTCATGTATAGTTCAGAAACTATGTTTTGAATTGGTTATTGTATATATTTCTTTGTCTATAATCAATAAAATCATCACTTACATGATTACATAGGAAAGAAAAAGGAATAAGAAATAGTACCTAAGCATCACAACATCTCCACTTATCGCACGCACACACACACACACACACACACCAAAAACAACATTGCCAATTCAATAATATCAAGAGAAGGATAAAGGAAATAGTATCTAACCATCAATACTTCCAGTTATGATAAACTCTGCTGCTGACACAGCAACATGTGTGACCACATCACGATGCATATAACTTTTCTCATACCTACAAAATAATACAATTCAAATAGCACAATTTGATTAAAATTTAAACACAGACAATTAAATAATTTATCTACAACTTTCCTACATTCTATTACACATTTTCCCCCACAAAATGAATAAAATAGCTTTGTCAAACCTGTGGCAATAATGAGAACTTGTCACCAGGTCAAAACCATGTAGTTGGTTCATTATTGTGTCCATCCATTAATTTTAACCAACTACAGATATATGTATATATATATATACACAAATTGAAGTAGTAGGAACCAGTTGTAGTTGATGAGAAAAGAGAAAAAAAAAATAATTAAACAAGGTCGTAAGGAACTGATGTGCATGGAAACAAAATAGCAACAGATCTATAGGGTTTTTGATAAATTACAAATCTATAGGATTATTACAAGGCTTATATGGACTTTCAGTTTAAGAASGAATGTGTTAGCAATATGCCATTCTCATGTTTTAAATCAAAGCATAGATAGCATTGTTATTAAGGTAGAAAGGTGAGACTCAACAACAGCATTCTCAGAAAGCATTTAGGTAGGCACCTAAGACCCACCTATGCAGTGGTTAGGCGGTGGTGTTTTTGCTAAACTCTTATCAATTACTGTTTCCACTCCTAAAGATTTGTATACAAAAATTCTTGCATTCCTTTCATTCCACAAACCCCAAAGCACTGCTGCACACATATACCATACCTGTGCAGAAATCTCAAATATTTGTCATCATTGTGCACATTAGCTGTTTATTAACAAGGAGTAAAGGAAAAATGTACATAGAATAGAAGTGTCCTTCAAGAATCTATGAAGTATTACAATCCAACACATGTCTGACAAAGACACTTCATCCATTTAGGAGAGTCAATGCAACACTAAATGACACTCCACAGAAAATGCCTTATCACTTCAAAATCTATAAGAGATAGAAAGTATAGAAGGAAAATGTTAATAACCAATTCTAACTATTTGCAATGTCATCTATGAGGTTGAAGCCACAAAAGTAAATGGTGAAACCACTACACAAAATTAGAAGAACCACATTAACTAGAAACTGGATTAAAATCTATTATAAAGATAAACAAACAACTAGATTCCAACATTCACACTTACGTTATTCCAGGCATTGTTTCAAGAATGCCTGACAAATACAATAAGAATGAATATGTTTGCTCATATTATCTGGAATTATTACAATTCAGATAGTCTTTTAGGCTGCATTTGGGAAGAGTGCAAATAGAGTGTAAATCCATATATTCAGAGTGCGTTCTGGTCCATACAAATGCAAAGTTGGTTTAGTTTTGAATTGATAAATTTACTTTCTTTCCAAACAATTTTTAGTTCTAATGGATGCAAACACGAATCTCGAGATTGAAAATTACTTTTTTAAAATTGATCACTTTGAGTGCAAATGTTTACCTCCTTTTTTTCAATGTAAAATTTCCTTTCATTTTGGGTGCAAACATGCCTTGGAAACTGTGTTTTCTGTCATTGTCAATACACAAATGCACTCTTGCCAAAAACTAGCAAAACTGAACCACAATGCATATTTGCAGTGAACCAGCATTTGCATTCTTCCCGAACACAGCCTTGAAGTTTAATAAAACCTTGTTACTATAGATTTACAAAATATACTACAGTTGAAAATGTCCCCCAACCTGTTACCCAGATATGGCAAGGACATAACCAAATACAGTATCAGATATGAGATTGAACTATCTGATACAACACAGCACCCTTGTACAGGTATCAGAGTATCATAGCTTCCAGATCTTTTTTTATTATAAATAATTGCTCATGCTTTATTAATGGTATCAGAAACCTACAGAATATTCAGAGCTGCTCAATTTCAATCATTCTTTTAACAAGTTGAACTCCCAACTCCCAAACATCAGGCATGTTTCCCAGTAAAAGAATATGGGTTCCCTCAGTCCTGTTGAAAGTGGCATTCCTAGCATGGACGGCAGCATTATTGCATTGGAAAAATGTTACAAGGCTTATGACCTTATTGAGAGAAGTACGGATCTGGAAAATAGCACGTGTGCTGTGCACTGCACAGGGGCTCAGAATCATCTAATCACATCTTCATTCACTGCAAGTCCTCCTAAAGTGATGGGCCTCAGTCCTCTCAGGCTCTGGGTTTAAAGGCTATTCCTCCAAATCAGTTTAATCATTATTCCATGAGTGGTATTTGAATGGACTGAGCAAAAGGAGCAAGCTTGTTTGGGGAATAATTCCAGCCATCACATTGTAGTCTATATGGAGAAAAAGAAACACAATTTTTTTAAAACAAATCCCAGAAGATGAAGTGCTTAGGAGGAAAAAGGGCATTTTATACACATGGCTGGTGATCCACAGACCATCTCAAGGGGTTCCTTACAGTTTTTTTATCCCAATACTCTTACTGTAAACATTATGTTTTACATTTTTTTCAAGAAAAATGGTACCAAAGAGGTTGCACTATGTATTTTACAATATCCTCCAGCTCTTCCCTGTATTATTCAGTGTAGCCAGTGGCTTGATGCATTGCCTAGGCATTTTGGAGGTTCATTGCCTAATCAACCAACTAGGTGAGTGGTACAGATATATAAACATCCCAGTAGATGCAAATAAGTAATTATACCCCATTTTATATGTTGATATGAGTGCACACAACCCRATTTTGCTCATTATAAGTGTCTGTAGAAACAAAAATCAAGGCTCTTAACCCCAATGTGTGGTCGTGTGCATCTTTGCTTTAAGACTTTATGCCGAACCAAGTAGAGTTTCCAAAATCTTGTCATTTCTTTCCAAAGTCAAATGTAAGTTGTCATTAAATCATTTACTGGTTCACTTTGTAGTTTGGTAGTTTTACTATTGACATGCAATTACAAAATATTTGTGTATAATTATATACGTAGTAAAATGTGTATGTTCATTCTTTGTACCCGCCCAACCAAAATGTCTTCTTTAACACTGGTGTTATTTCTCTTTTCAATTTTTTCAATCAACTCTTGTAATTTTCTTCTATACCAACTCATAAGACATTTGCATTTTAACTACATGAATCACAACAGCATAAGAGAGTTAGCATTTGCGATGTTCCTTTACAAGTCGTACAATATCAGGCCTATTAAGGACTGCGAGAAACAGAGTTCTCCAGAAGCTCTAGCTGATACTTACGCTCTACAACGAATAATTCTCAAAATAATCACTTTATCAATTTCAATACTAAATTGATGAGTAAGTTTATTCTCCTATTTTTCAAAATAGCCATATAACTGGAGAAAATGAGGTCAAGGCAAACTAAAACCCTAACTCCCTTTGCTGAAAAAACTAAAAACCCTAAATCCCAAAACCATTGACTAAGAAAAATGTCAAACTATAACGCCAAAAAACTCACATGTTAGCAGACGGAAGCGCATCCAAGTACGCCTGCTCGAACTGCAGAGGACGCTTGGGACGAGTCTTAGCGGCGGGACCGGGGCCAATAAGTGCCTCTTCCTCGCTCGCTTCCATTGTCGAACCTTTCTTGCCGTTCTGAGGTTCCTCCATTGTAGGGTTTTGCACGCACAGAACCGAAGACTATCAGAATGACTCGGGGCCCTAAGAAGCAGCTCACCGGGCTATTGTCTCTGCGAACCGAAACATGGCCCTTTTTTTAAACCGAACCGGTGGTATCGGTTTTTCATTTCGCCAAATCGAAATCGAATCGGTACCATCGATTAATCGGTCTGCTGGTTTTGGTTTTTGATCGATTCGATTCTTTGATTTTTTGGTTTTTTTATTTATAATATATATTATATAATATTATATTATAAATAATAAATGATATAATATATTATAAATATTTTTAAAATATATAATATATATAATATATTTATAAATAGATCATTATAAATATAATATAAGTATATACTTATATATAATACATAGAAAATATATAACATATATTAAAATATATATAATATACATATAAATATATACTGGTCGGTTCAGTTAACAGTCAGCTCTTTTGTAAGTTAACCAAAAACCGAATCGTTCTTTTGGTTTTTCAAAAATTCCAAACTAAAACATAACCGATCGGTTCGATTTGATTTTGTGATTTTTCATGGACACCTCTAATGGTAACATTTAACAAAATGTTTTSGTGACAATTGTGTAGAAAGAACTCGTATCGGCAACACACAGGCGCGTCCCTATCATGTATTGGGAGATGCTCCCAATGACAAGTACAGTAGGAATTCACATTTGCACCCCACAATATATTTCAGCAGTGTATTGGGAACATATAACACTAACAACTTAGGGAGATGTTCTTCATGTACGCTGAGATGTGCATGTGGGGCGTATGTAGAGCACTATTGGTGGAGTGCAGATGTGATCTCGTACTGTAAATATTCCCAATGCACGCTAATATAAGATTTGATCTATTCCTCACAAAACGCACCTCACACCGACCTCAAAAGCATATCTCACCATGTATCAGTAACATTTGTCATACTTATATGTTATTATTCATGTGAGATGTTTTCAATATATGGTGGGATGTACCTATGAGGTTGGTGTGAGGTATGTTATGTGAGGAGCAAATCCCAATTCTGCTGAGATGTGCAGCTGGGGAGCCTAGGGACGCTTAGCAATGGCAACAGGAAATTGGGATATGCTCATCAAAGAGCGGACTTCACATCCCATAGGTGTCCATCCCCACCCCAAACCCCACCGGGGCTACAAACCCTAAACCCATCTCTATTCCCGCAAGGAACAGGGATCCTTGAATTTTCTCCATCCCGCCCCAATTATTTCTATTTGTATACTTACAAATTTATTATATTATGTCATATAATATAGTCGGGGCGGGTTTGAATCAGGGTCAGGGAGGTGGACAAATACCATCCCCGCCCCATTCCCGATCCCTAGAGCTTTTAGGTTTACCTGAAACCTGCCCCAACCGAGGTGGGGCCTTACAAGGGCAGGTCAAATTGCCATTTCTATGTACACTTTGTGGGAAGCCAATGTTAACTCGCATAAAAATGCTCATTGACTAAAAGGGAATTCCTAGGGGTCCTTCACAACACATCCCAACAATGCATTTGGGGCGCCCATTGTGGGGGACCAATATGAATTCGTTGCTTTGTGTGAAGCCAATGTTAACTCGTGTAGAAATGCTCATTTACTCGAAGGGAATTCCTATGGGTCCCTCACAACGTATCCCAACCATGCATTTGGGGCGCGAGTGGGACATGTTTTGTAGGAGCCAATACGAATTTGTAATACAAAATTATTCACTAGAAGGAATCTAAATCAAGTTTAAATCTATTACCAATATAAGAGTTTGATCTGAGACCGCACATCTCATCATGAAGCTAGGACCCGTCATGTATGAGATGTGCAGTATCAAATCATATTGTGAGGGTGTTGGAACATATTTTGTTGACATGTAATCCGAACTCTCGATAGAACATYCCCAACATGTCCCACAACAAGCCACTATAGTTGCACATTAAAAACATCTCCCTATAAATGACAAAGGAGATATTTCTAATGTAYGTCTATAGTGGATTGTCGGGACAGTGTTAAGAGTGTTTTGTTAGTAGCAAATTATTGCTCCCATTGTGGTGATTTCATATGGGCTCCCCATATAGCATGCCCCATGCACATTAAACTACTAATCATTCAAATGTATATAGGCTCCCTACAAAGCGTGCCAAACAGTAAGTTTATATTTGCTACCAACAAGTGCTCCCAATACTTGGCACAGGGGAGATGTTCCCAAATGTGTTGTTGCATTGGCCTATTGGAACATTGTTGGGAGCATTGTCTTGGTATCAAATTCATACCCCCACAGCACATCCCCTTGGGAATATATAGGGGTGTTCATGTTTGATGGAAAATTGACCAAACCGACCAAACTAGCCCGACCCAACCAATTTGGTCAGTTTTTCAATACCACCGATGTGTTTCAGTTTATGTAGGTAAATAAACCAACAACCTGGTTCGGTTTGGTTTCAGTTTTCATGTGTGGAAACCGAAATCGAATCGAACATGTAAGTGTTGAAGTAATTAGTCCCTAGGTAGTCTTTCCCTATTCCGGTAATCCCTATCTTAGTTGGTTTCTAGTTAACTACTTAGCTTTAACATAAAAAATAAAAATAAATGTGGTTTTGTCTTTGGGATTGTTTTTCTTTTTTGAGTTGAAAACTTTGCACCAAATAGGAAAAATTAGATATGGGAGAAAAGACACAATTTGAGTCAATTTCAAAAACATTTTTGGGATTAGCAAGTATTGCAAGCAAGATCCCTACACTTTTAGACTTGCTAAACTTAAAATTGCTCTTCTCAATAGAGTCTTGGGAGACACATTGGAGACTTGGAGTCTTACATTTTTTGGAAGAATCAAAGAGAGGTTCCATGCTTTACACCAAATAGGAATCTTGGAGTTTTGAAGGCTTGAATCTTGATTTCTCTTTGGTTCTTCCAATATTTATCTTCATCCTTTTACTACCTGGTCTGCCTCAAGCTACAAGTTTGCAACTCTTAAGGCTTCTTTCATCTACCATTACAACTACAAGTGCTGTCATTTTCCTCCCCTCTTCTCAACTCTCATTCTCTCAACTTCTCAAGACTCAAGCATCAAATTCACATGTTAGTATTTTATTTTTTCTTTAAAATTTTTAAATTTTAATGCATGTTAAATGTTGATATATTTTATTTATATTTTGTTTGAGATTTGAAAATAATCTAGTTATTTATGATATAAACTAAAAAAGTAAAACCAATACAAATATAATACAATGGTACAATACTTAATTCAGTTTTGTATAAATTTAAATATATATATATATATATATATTTGCACAACAAATTAGTTTTGTATAAAAAACTAATCTATTTAAATATATACATATTTTGGTTTTAATTTAAATATGTATTTTATATTTAAAACTGTTAAATGTAGATATTTCAGTTTTGCATAAAATCTGAAAAGAAATAAACTTAAATATAAATAGATATTTTAGTTTTAAATAATAAATATATATCTGGAAAATATATATATATATATATATATATATTTCAGTTTTAAATCGATAAACCGACCCTTCATGTTTGGGTCGGTTTTGCTTTATGGTTGGCCGGTTTCGGTTTGATGATTTAGTAACCCGACCAAGTTGGGTTGGTTGAAGAAAATGTCTTAAACCAACCCAACCCAACCCGTGAACTATCCTAGGATTATATCCTCATGACAAGTATGAGAGATGTTTTCATTGCATGGGAGTAATTTGCTATGGATCCCTCCTCATGGAATCCGAATTTGCTCCTCATAAAGCATGCCTACTCCAATCTTACAGTGTTTTATCAATTGTGCATCGAGAACACTTCTCATACTTGATTTGTTCTATCGTTCCCAATGCAGGGATTTGATGTGTTGTGAAGTTGGTGTGAGCTGCGCTCTATGGGGAGCAAATCGGATTTTCTCTTTGTGGGAACCCATTTGAACTTCTTGCGACCAATCCAACTACACTATTGACTCTGAAAATAAGTGTCATAGATGAGAATTACAATTGATAGCTGGAACTAGTGATGGCAGTAGATAAGGTATCGTGAAAGTTGCCCTTTATATTCCCAAACTTGCATAAGCATCCTTGATCCCAACCCCATTTAATTTTTCCTCCCATTAAATCGGTTCCATCCCAAAGTATCGTCATTGCATGCAAATTATTTCTTATAAAACATATAAGATATATTTATTATGATAATATAACAACTTATAATCCATCAACTAGCATAGAAAAGTGGCAAAAGTTGTAGTCTTCGTAGTTCATTCATCATGATTTAATTTTGCATGGGAAGAGAAGTTGTGGAAGTTAAGAAGTGAAAATACAAATTGAAGGAGAATAGACTGATTAATAAAGGAGAGTTTTGGTTCTCCCTCTCTAATAGTTCATCATTGTATTGTAAATAAAGAAAAAAAATAGAGAAGAACACCATCATCTCACACCAATATCCATTCTAACTGCAAACAAATATAGAAGAAACACAATCAAACCTCAAGACCTCCAGAAAGCATAGAAATAAAAAGGACAAAGAAAAATACAGAAGCACAATAGAGCAGACACAATGAAAAACAACCCCAAAAATACCTAAATTGCAAAACAAAGGGAGTCAAATCTTGTAAAAAAGTAAACAAAGATAAAGGAGAAATAGATCATGTCAAGTTGGGAACAAACAAAGTAATTTGGAAAAAAAAATGAGCGGAGAAAAAATCACCCATCCTAATCGACAACCTTAAATCACACAAACAAATGAACTTGCATAGAAATGTAGAAACAAGAGGAGCCCTACAAAGCACCAAGAGAAACACATGCATTGAATCAACCTCAACATAAATGCATAACGAAGATAAACAAAGGAAGTACCCCGAAAAACACATTCACAAAATCGAGCAAACAAAAGGAAGAAGCTTACTGGTTTTCTATGCCCATCGCTAATCAGTTCCCACCCTTGAACTACATTTGTACCCACAAACATAGAACAAAGAAAGCGCCCACATGCTCTGCTCTATGATCACAGGAGCCAACCTTGAACTTCATTTGTACCAACAAATGAAAGGAAATCTT